ATTCTTCAACGTTGGTTAACACTATTCAAAATTGAAAAGTGAAAACAATCGAATGTGAATGATCTAATTTAAAGTTCAAAATTCGAATGGAAAATTGTTATTTAATAAAAATCGATCGCTTTATTGCATTTTTATTTAATTATGATAATGTAATTTTGATTGAATAAAAATAAAAAGGGACATTTATTGATATTACTATGATGATTATGATAATGATAGATTAAAATGTAATATCAAGATGTATCGAAATAAAAAAAAAAACAAGTTTTCAATTGCAAGTGACAATTATTCAGTGTATGGAAAAAAAACTAATGAAAATAAATCAAATAAATCGATTTACATAAAATCGACCATTCGATTGAAAAAGATAATCATTTACGTGAGATAAATGATCACAATTTATTATTCTGCATTGTTTGCTTTTCTTAATCAAAACCAAATTGAGTTTTTTGATAATATCACCATCTTCATCCCGACTTTCTGTCCAGATAAACCCGTTGACGAACATCTGGCCGGTTTCTACATTGGTAAGAAATTTGGATGCTTCTATCCAAATTTTCGTATTGTATCCGCGAATTCTCAATCTTCTCAGTATATTTTTGCCAATTTTGAAATCTCCCTGGCAATTTTTTACTTGCACTAATTTGTAAACAGACTTGGCATCATATTCCGATATTGATGTTTCTTTGATCAATAAATTTGGTGAAACTTCGTGCTTTAACGACTCCAATGTTTGCCTTAAGGCCATTCGCTCACTCAATGTAATTGTGGGCGCTTTCCAGTTACCCATCAATCGCCCATATTTTTTGGACGATTGATGGCATCGCTCATACCTTAACGTCGATCCAAGGTAGAGCGGACCGAATCTCCTAGCATTTTGTCCATAATGTAGTAGCTTATGAAGTTTAAAAGTTACTTCATATTTCATTGAAGGGTACTTTTGACTCATTTCAACAAATCTGTCAAGTATAGATTTACTTAATTTTTCTAAATCTTCTAGATCCGATGTGGTTAATTCGGTTCTTAAAACCGTTTGGCAAAACGATTTAGCCGATTCATACAACGTCAAGATAGATGTTTCATTTTGGCAAAATAAATCAGATTCGTTGAAAAAGATTTCGGGTAGGCGCATAAAACATTCGAAATGCTATTGAAAAGAATTAAAATAATTTGAATGAATATGAACGATGATATAGTATTACTCACTTGCACACCGGTCGCATATATTTTGAATTTGTTTTTTTCATAAACGACTAGAATATCTCCGTTATAAAACTTGAAATTTTGTAATCGTTTTATGACAATTGATGACGTTAAATCTAAGCCCTTATTTTTGCATGATATCATTTCTTTTAAAAAAAGATACGTGATCGGTTTTAGACAACCCTCTATAATTTGTAATAATAAATTATTCAACCAATTCAAATGAAATTTTCAACATACCGAATAAGTCATGAAATATGTCGGGCGGCGCAATATTGGCGATTGTGACACCTTTTAATTGTGTTAAAATGCAATCTCGAAAGACGATGTTTTTGACTGAGTTTTCAAGATTGATTCCATCAGATTCCAAAATAGAATGGCATCTATCCTCAGTATATCGTTCACGTTTTATCAAACACTCCCGACAATTACTGCTTCGACCGAATGACATTGAAAAGCCCAAAATTTCATTATGCGAAAGATTGTCGCAGACCACTTTCCCAATTGTTACCTCGATATTAATTGATCTTCGAAATTGTATACCAGTTTTTTCCAATTGCTTCATTTCATTCACGAATGGCGTCAACATAATGTTCATCTCTTCTTCTATTCGAATAAACGGTCTTCTTGCCATTAAAAACAAGTATATATTATCTCGTTTTGTTCGTTCTTTTAATGGTAAATTCGTGCACGACATGTAACCAGCTACGAATTTTCTTCCTTTTTTCCCGACAAACGAGAAATCATCCAACGAAATTTCTACTCGAAGCTTTCCTTGCAGTCTTCGAAAAATTCTTTCGTCCGTTGTGTCCATGTCGGATTTAATCAGCATGTTTGTTCGTTGAGATTCAGGCTGAAAATCAAGTGATTTTTCTCTAGCGATTGAATCAATCAATGATGGATGTTGATTGATGATTGACCTCAAAATACCTTCAACCGAAAAATATTGAATATCGATTCCACTTGGGTGAGAAATCTAAAAATATTATGATAAGAGCCGAAACAAAGAATCGAATGGAACTTAATACCTGTGTTGGTTTAAGATAGTTATTTTGTATTTCGAGGAATTTATTCTGCAAATAACAACTCGAAGAATATTTTGCCATATGTTCCCTGACATATTCCGGATAACGTTCAGCTTCTATGAATTTTCTTGAGATTATTTTGCCGAATCCTTCTGCATGAGCGTTTGGAATTGATTTTTTCAGTCTAAATTCCATTAATTCAGCAATGTATTGTTTCAAAAAATCTCGTTCATCTTAATAAATTACAAAAATTGGTTGAATAAATACAATTATTCTTCAATTAATACCTTTTTCCAATAACTTCATTGTTGAAACCAAATAAGAATTGTGTTTTGGGTCCGGTTTCAAACAACTTTCGTAAAATTCATTAATTTCACCTAATTCAACATTGTACTCATCGGATTCATCATTGTCCTCATCGGATTCATCATCGTCCACATCGGATTCACTTTTTTCAAAATCTAGTGGTTCCGGAATCATCGAATTATCACTTTTATATGTTAAAGTTTGTGAATAATGTTGTTGAAATGGAAAGATAGTTTCGGCAATCCCTATACCAGATGTTTCCATAGGATCCAGATCGGTTGTTTCCATAGGTTCTTGATCGGTTGCTTCTATTGACTTCTGATCGGTTGTTTCCACAGGTTCTTGATCTGTTCTTCTTATTATATCTTGATGAGAAGGACCGGCAATCGGTTGGTGTGAAGCAGGTGCATTCCTTAATTTAATCAATTTAATTTGAAGATCCTTTGAAAAATATTTGGTACTCACGTTATTCGTTTATAATAATCCGGATGATGAGTATTCAAATGAATAATTAAATTATGTGCATAAGAAAACGTTGATTCGCATCCTCTAAACGAGCACTTTTTCTTCGGATATTTCTGTTCGAATTCTTCAGGAGTCATATTTGTGTTTGAACTCCTCATTCGTCTTCTTTTCCTCAAATAATCTAAAATCACTTCAAATTCGGTACCAATAAACTTATCGTAAGTATATTTAGGCATTTTCAGTGAAATCTTGGCCGAATTCTCGATTTGAAAAAAATTACGATAGATTGGAAATTGTAAATATTGGTGGAAAGACAAAATTAAATTTGTGTAAAAAACACGATGATAACGTAAGACGATTCGAATTCGTTTGAAATCATTATTATCAAAAATTATTTAGAACAAAAAATAGAACAAAATTTCTAATCGAACAACAAGCTAAGTTCAAAACATCTAATTTACTCTTCCATAATTTTCGCATCTTTACATCTATTCAATCATACTGGTGACAATAATGGACAATGAGAAAGAAATGATCATTTAGACAACTTTAACTTTATTGATTTGATTATTTTTATGAAAATAACAACAGGCATATTCTTTATTCATTTAAAACGCAGCTAGTAAGATTATTTTAGACAAGAACATGACATTTTTTTAAAGTCAAATTTAAATTTTTTTACTATTATTTATTTTCTTTACAGTATCAGCTTTGGTCATATTCGAAAATCAACAATTTTTTTCATCTAGTTATCATGGAAAAACACGAATCGGATTTGAAATGCATGTTTTGCAACGGAAATCATTCTGATACCGAATGCGAATTACCGGTTTTGGACAAAATATTCATATTGTCCGAACAACGTCGATGCTACAAGTGTTTCAGCAATGAACACTTGAGCCAAGAATGTGCGAAAAAAAATTGCATATACTGCGATATGAATCATGACGAATCAATTTGTATTGAGACAGAATTTGATTTTGATGAGAATTAAATTAGAAGCAAGAATTTTCTTTGTCCTTTTCTTTCCAATAGATTTATTAAATATACTATGGACCTGTACCTTGTTTTTTTTATTTTGTTTTTGTTTTTAAAATTTATTACAATGACAGAAATATTTCGATGGATGTTGAATTCTATTTCTAAGATCTTGGTAGATAGTGAAAGCAAAACACGGATGATGCTAAACAAAGCCTAATGATCATATTTTTTAAAATTGTACAATTAAAAAAATGTAAAATAATAAATATTTTTGTCTTTTCATTTATTTTGTGTATTTTCTTTGATTTGATTCATATCCAAAAATTCGATTCAAAATTCGAAAATTCTAAATGCTTTATCAAATCCTATGATGATATAAATAAGAGGACAATCTAAATTGGTTTATTCACTTGTTATTTTCGACTGAGACAATCTGATTTACTTTACTGATTGTCAATTACGAAATTGAAATATTATGGATAAAATGGACGATTTTAAGAACGATTCTGGGGATAAATTAGCTGATAAATCGGTGAATGATTCAGATGACGATTTTATGGATGAAATAGTTGACGCGGGGGATGAAACAGCCAAAGAGAAGAGAAAAGAAGAAGAAAAAATTCGAAAGGTAAGAATAAAACACTAAAAATTATTAATGATGAAAATTTATTTTTTGTATTCTTGAAAAAAATGTTTAGAAGATGCGAATGGATAATAATTTAAACATAGTAAGTAGAATTAACTGAAATTACTAGTAGAATGTAAAACTGTAAATATTTGATTTTTTAGGATTTTGTTTCTAATTATTATGATAAAGATCGAAAGATTTTTATGCATGAATTATATCAGTTTCCATCATTCGATTCACGAACAATAAGTTGGCTAGAAAATTTAAATCGTATTCCATTCGATATGGATAGTAAAGATCAATTAAAAGGAGATATTATTAAAATAATCGACAAAATTAATGATGATCTAGTTGGTGATGAAAAACTGTTTTTAAATTATTTGCCTGAACAAGAATGGAGAAAGTTGATATCAAGATTAATCTATGAATTTCCATCCATCAGAAACCGATTCAATCGATTTAATGCAGAATCAGGATCAAAAACTGATCCATTGATAGTAAGATAATTTTTTGTAATTTAAAATTGAATCAATTATTAAAATCTTTCCATTTATTCTGAACAATAGACTTACATGATGAAGAAGGTTAGAAACGGAAAATCAAAATTGAACCAGATGAATAAACGAAAAAGAGATAAATTAACAACTACAATCGAAGTCAAAACGAATGAATAAGCCTTTTTGAATATAATCTCTTCTAATACCATCATAATCTAATACATCATCTATTTATCAATCATCGATTGATAATCAATTTAATAAAAAATAAGTTAAAATAATTTTTTAAAAAATATTTTTTCGAATATTTTCAAGTTCGACAAATGATCATTTGCGCATAGTCAAATGCAAACTATTTTCAATTGAATTTTCAAAAGTATTAATACAAATACTGCCTGCACTTTCGATAGTGCAAATCGTTTTAGCGCGTACAAATTCTTTCGCGGCTATAGTGGTGGCTAGTGGTAACTATTTTCTATACTTTTCTTTCGTCCAATCAGAATGCAAGTTTTAAACGATCGTTTCAACGGTCGTCGAAATCGTTTGTCCTCGTCATTCTATTTCGAACTTTTCTTGTGACGGTTGTTTTTTCGAACGTTTTTTTCTGGTTGATTTTATAAGTTATTTTTCCATTTTAATCATTGATTTTGGTCCACATTTTTGGAACAAACACTTTTATTGATTAAAGATTATCTTTGTTTATGCTTTTATTTGTTTCAGATTGAAAATTGGCCACGAAATTGATGAAAATTGTTTGGACGAGCTGTGATGCAATTGACAAAAAATGATCATTTTCTCGATGTCATTTATTCAAGTTTGTAATTATCAAATGATATTTCATTTTAAATAAACTTTCATTTAATAAAATCCTAATCAAGTTTATTTTTTCAGTTTCATTATGGCGCTAATTAACATTTCCAGTAAATTAATAAAGGTAATATTACCATTTTGCGTAACATGAAAATGATTACAATGTTTCTTCGTTTTAGCATACAATTCGACATGGCAAAAGTTTATGGAAAATACATGGTCCCAAATAAAACTGCTGGTTGGATCGATGGATGTTAATCGTTAGATGAATATGGACTTCCAGGTAACTAATCTTTACATTCTAATCCATAATTTTTACACTCTAGTTCCTCAAGTTTTTGCTAATGAATGTCGAAAAAATATTCGAATGATTATCATGTTCCCGATCGATTTGGCGATTCCATTGTTCATCGGCATCTGATTCAAGAATAGTTTGACAATGTTAAACAATAGGCTAGGTTAGATTAGAATTAGGAAACATGGTCTGAGCTATTTCCTATTGAATTCGATGCCTGATGAGACTTTAGAACCAAAAAACGATCGAAAATTATGATATCATTCGAATATTTTCAAACTGGAATAAATACTTGCAGTTAATGATGGTAAGTTTTTGAATCCAATGATCGAAACTATCAACTAATATTCTTTTAAATTCAAGATCACCGCTGAGAATGATGGGATTCAAATATTCAATTTCATGGATCAAATATGGACATTGAGTTTTGAAACATGAATCGGATTGCTGGACATCGAATATTCAATTTTGGATCGATTTGGAACTGGACAAGAATGGATCAACGTGGGATGTTAAATATTAATGATTTTTATGATTCAAATTTTTTAATTATCAATAAAATTATAATTAAATTTTAATTTATGTGTAATTAAATTAATATGGGGGCGAATGCAATAAAAGGGGGGAGAACCTGCAACAATCGGAGAGAGCGATACTATCGATAGTATTTTCGATTATTCGCTGCATGCGATTGTTGGTTTTCAATTTTGGAGAATGCTCTCCAAAATTGAAATTTTTTGC